ATACCGATTGAGGACTATTTCTCCTTGTGATTCGTATTACTTAATATTGTTCAAGTATTAAAACGTATTTTTAAGTCCTCAATGGTAAAATAATAGATGCAGTTCATTAAAGTTTAAATCAATATACTATGAAGAATTCTAATAATCATAACACATATTTTCTTTCCGTCTCATGACTCTCAAACTAATTCATTATAAAATCTAAAAGCTATGCTGAAAATGATGTCGAAAGCCGAGCTTGTTTTCCGATTGTCGAATTCACTACAATTTCAGCTCTAAAAGTACCCAAAATTTTATAATGCTACATTTCAGAGCAGGCAAGATTATTACAATATAAAATTCAAATTTTCAAAAATGCTCACTTTTTCCTGGAAATGAATCAAGCTTATCTAAAATATAGGATTGATGAAACACTGTTTCTACTCAATTATCTTGTTTTGTTAATATTTCTGCTGGAAACTTTTTCTGGCGGAGCTAGCATAAACAGTTCAACCATAATCAAGATTCTTATTTAATTTCTTTCTACTGAATGAAAAAGTTAATTCGAATATCATTATAAAGTTTAATTATAAAGATTTCTTAACAAATCAATAAATAACGAAAAATTAAAAAGAAAACGCAAATATTGCACTCTTAGTATTCGTTGTGAACATGTAAATGTACATATTATATGCAAAACTACAATAAAAAACCTAAACTAATTAGTACATGATCATTTTGAAAACGTTATTTTTTTCTTTTGACTGTTGCATGCTAATAGTGTTATAGTGGTAGAAAATTTCTTAGTCAACTAGTTAAATAAAGGGTAGGTAAAAGTTTTGTATTAATTTTGTTTTTGATATAACCCTACGATGTAATGTCAAAAGAGACTTGATCTGGTTTTTTCGTTAGAAAGAGCAAAGTGTCTAGTGCAAAGATATATAAAAAAATTCGATCGAAGGTGATTGTTGAATGTCAGAAAAGTCTTAGAACAAAAGATTCTGAAAAACTCTTCTGTAACTCTTTTTTGTCCTCAGTCAAAAGTTGCCAATAATTAGACAGACTATCATTTTATTCGTCTAATTCAGACTTAATTATATAAAAATGAAACACAATTACTGTACAGAAGAAGAAGCTTCTATGTGTTTCATAAGGTTAGAAACGAAAGCTTTTGTAATATCGTCTGTATCACTGATTCTTCATCATTCTTGACAGCAGTGGAAAAAATAGTTCGTTTCAAGAGAGAAGTTGCTGAAAGCTATGTATTTATATAGAAAACAAAGCTTGTGAGCTCTACCCTAAATAATACTATCCGACATAGGACGCAGCTTCTCTGTGAGATATTCAGAGACAAGTTTTTTCTCATGTTACAAAGCTGACTTCGTCAGATTAATTTTATTAATCAAAATGTTTTCTCTTCATTCTCTTGTATACTACGCCAATTATTTTAATAATAAATGAAAGCCTTCGTAACAAAAAGCAGCTGTATACATGTGGTTCTTGAGAGGGCCGAAAACAGGTAATGAACAAGCTCTAACAATGCTGTTTTTATAGAAAAAAAGAATTTGACCAAAGTTGCGGAAGTGTTTTCGGGGACCTTTGGTTCTAAGAGTTTTGTGACATTCAAAAGCAAAGACTTTCAATCAAATTCTTTCATAAAGTTTTGCGCTAGACACTCTGTTTCCTCTAACATAAATATCAAGTCTTTAAGACATTGCATCGTAAAGTTATATAAAAGAACAAAATGAATACAGAACTTTTGCTTCACCCATTAGGCGAAAACAAAAATACTATTTTTTAAAATACGTGTCGTCATAATGCAGAATCTTATTCAAAATTGTATGACAGCACACTAAATGTGTTTTTCATCGCATAAAATATGGGGAAATTTTACCGGTTTCCGATCGCTTTTTCTAGCTTTTTTCGACGAAATATACGTAAAATCAGAATTTTAATCAAAATATAGGACAAAACAAAGTATTTTCCAAAAATATAGATATTATAGGAAAAAGAAGTCGAATCGCATCCCATATTATTTATGTCATTATTGCATTGCTTTTATTAGTGTTAAAAACTTCTTTTCAAACGAAGATTGTTATAAATTCAATACTCAAAATAAAAGCTGTTTATCACAAAACTAACACAGTAATCATCTCTATATCATGGTTCTACTCATTTATCGTCTTTTGATATTTTATGTTTGACACTTCTATGTTTCGACTAAATTCTAGTTTACTATTGGCTATCTGGAGTCAACTTTGATGAAGTTTATTCGGGGAGTTCATATTATTTACGAAAATATATGCAAAATTCAGAGTTTTCGTTCAACACTAATTTTCAGTAAGATAAAATTCATAACGAATCTCTTATTTACGCTCTAAAATGAATGCTTTATACGTTTTCAGAACAATATTTATTTCCGAAAGCAAAGTAAATGTCAGAATTATAATGCATAGAAATCTGCTTTTTCGAAAATAAAAATTGTTTTCTATCATTTAGCAAGTATAAAATGCTTAAACTCTTTAATGCATTAAAATGGTTTTAAAAAAGTTCTTGTGTCAGAGTAGTTTTTAGGCATAAAACTCGGACAGTTGGAGAACCCTAGAGGAGAGGAGTACCGAAAACTATATCTTTCTTGTACGAGACTCATATGCTTGTTGTGATTTATTTTTGATGTATTAGTCATGATGATATTTCAGCACACTCATATTCTTACCGTACTTGACTACGTACAAAGTCTATATTCAACATACCTTGATAGACTTCTTCTAAAAGTTGTGGTCTATACACAGGGAATATATTATACGATCATCATTTAGCACACACTCACACACAAATGTCAAATTCTTTGAAGACCTTGCTCATCAAGAAAAATCCTAATCTGTAAAACTCATCTTTTATACTTCTATAGCTGTAAGTTGTAAGAATGACTACTGCTGCTCGTTAAGATGCAACATTCTCTTCTCCATCTACCTACATTACAAAATAACAGATGGTATTCGCTCTGTATTTTACGTTTCTAGTCTTCTAGCTGTGTCAAAATTAGTGAGAAAGAGCAGAAAAAGAAATATTTCTAAAGTTACAGACTAATCAATTTTGTCTTCTAAGTGACAGATGTTAACACCAACAAAATAAAATCTACGTAAACTTGCGTCTCCATGGCATTATGTTGGCAACTGTAAAGAAAGAATAATAAAATTTGAGTAACCAGATGCTGTTGGAACAATAGATTTCATTTTTCTTTTTCGTCTTTCTAGCAAAATTTTTCTGATTCTGAGTAAATACCATAAGTATATTTGACCGATTACCTAGGAGTCATCATTAGTCGGATACTTGTGGTAACACTTTCTATGAATTTCAATTGAGCAAAGCATTCATTTCGCGTTGATCGTCATTATTAAAGAAAAAACCTTTAAATTAAAGACTATTGCAAGACAACAGAAGCTATTGTTCGTTCAAGTCTAATATAAGAAAGAACAAAGGCCGGAAAAATTCTTCCTCTTCTATTAAATAAAATTTCTCGCATTTTAGTTTAGGATGATAGTGCTAAGTTACTCTCTGAAACTGCATCAATCCAGTAGAAAACAACTTCTAGCGAATTCTCAGTCGTTTTCAATCTTGTATTATTTATTTTTAAAATTTCGTGTAAAAACGGACACCGTTTTCTCAAAAGTTCACAGTACGATTTCAAAGACTACTATTGTATGCTATTATCGACTCGTTTTATCAGTACAGAAAAGAAAAAATGTAAACACACAATTTATACTTCTGTTGCCGATTAAATGTCTATTCGATTGGCATTGAAATGAATGTTTTATGACTAACTTGGAAATACGCTGTATATTTGCAATATGAGTTAAAGCTGTAAGTTAGAGGGCGATGTCATACAAATTTTAAAAAATAGGAGACAATATCCGATGAATCTATAAATACCATTTTTAGAATGACTTTTGCATGAAGAATTCCAAAAATCATACCAAGAAAATGAAAAAATGATGTGATAAAAGATTAATGACTTTTTATATAGCATACAGGTTTTTTCCTGCCCATTATGATATCTGCTTCATATTTTCCATTTTTCTCTATGAAAAATTTATCGGACCCCAACACTAAAGGAAGTTTCGTAATCAATATGAAAGTCTCAAGTGAGGGTATGGGTGTATTTGTAGAATGATTGAAGTGAATTCAATCAATAGTTAGCAAGACGCGTTTCGATAAGTGCTAAAATTAAACTTATCAATTGCTTTTTTATTATATGTTCTTAGATAAAACGTTTCATGATGTTTAATTGTATCATGGAAAGTTTCATGAGAAAACTTACGACGTTGTAGTAATCAGGAAATGTGCTTACTCGGAGGTTTTGATTACTCATTTGTGTTTGTATCGTTAGTCAGTTCTTGGCCAGTATTTTGTATTATTTGTAAGGTGTTATTTGAGTCAATGTGATGGAGCTCTAATATAGGAGGTTTATGTAAAATGAAAATTGAGAAGTATTTTTTTAAGGCAAAGATTTGTCATATTTCATGGTTTATTCATGACAAGATATTTATAAGTGTGTATATATTCATATTGTAAATAAAGAGTCGATAATATGCATCTGGTTTATGGTTATTGTAGATTACGCTCGTTTTGTTCTTCTTCCTGGATTCGTGCAATACTGTCGATGTTTTCTGCTTGTTCGATTCCATCTTGTGTGAAAAGTTGTTGTTCCAACGCAGCGAATTGCTCGAATTCTTTCACTTATTCTTATTCCCATTTGTAATTTTCATCCATCTTTTCACAGTCGTATGCTTTGAGTAAAATATCTTGAGTTTCTTCCATGATAAGTACATCATATAGATCTGGATGGAGCGACATATCGGTATACAATTGTCGGTTTCTTTCATCTTGTCGTTCGGATTCTCGTTGCCATACTCTTTCTTGCCATTGTTCCTAACGTTGTTGGCGTCTTTCTCGCCGTCGCTGTCTTTGTGCTTGATATAGATTTGTCGTTGTTGTTGCTCTTGGTCTTGTTGTAAGCGCTAATGTCGTGGTCTATGATGTCCCTCATGCTGCCATAGCGGTGCTATATGTTGTTGTGGTCGTCGTTGACGTTGCTGTTGTTGTCGTGTCTGTTGGGCTGCTTGTCTTCTTTGTGCAATATGATTTTGTTGGTGAGTCGGTATTGATGCAACTTGAGTTGCGATGGTGTTTATCGCACTCAGTTCTATTGTTGATTGAGTTGTCATTACGATTTCGGTAGATAACATTTAGTTAATACTAGAATCATTTTCTTTGCTTCGATCTGTTGGTTGTAATGGAGTATCATTATCTTGACTATGGTCGGTATTGGTTCTTAGAGGATCCGGGTCATTTGGCCGACAATCACTTGGTCGACACATTACTTGGCCGACACCATTTCGCCAACAAATTGTTTGATCGACATGTACACTTCGCCGACAACTCATTTGACCGACAAATTTTTGAAGTCAAAAAAATTGAAATCTCTTGAAAATATTGCGTCAGAAAATTTTTTTTATTAAAGGTGACAAATATTTATACAAAAACCCTTCAATGTTTATTTTGGACTTGCCTTTTGTAGATTTAATCACTTCAGCATAATTACTCGAAACGCTGTCACTGTTTTCTCTTGAAAGCATGATTGAATTGTAACTTATCTCACGGGTAACAGGTTGTTAACGGGAGACTTGTTTTAACTGATAAAATATCGTCGTCTGATTTTATTTTGAAAAATATTCACTATTTATAGGCGAATGAGTAGGAAAAATCAAAAAGGGACTTGGAAATAATCATTAACGCGAGAAATAAATCCCAGAAGAAGGAAAAGAGAAAAGACTGTTGGAAAATACCATAAGTGAAAGATAGGAAAGAAAAGAGTATAATAGTGAATCCCACTATTACGTAGTTGAATTTCAAAAACATTTTTGACGCAATATTTTCAAGAAATTTCAATTTTTTTGACTTCAAATATTTGTCGGCCAAATGAACGTGACCCGTTCTTAGGAAATATGAAAGGGACAATAGGTACATTTTGGGGATTGGTATTCTTTGTTTTTTCTATGAATGTTAAATACTTATAACGATTTATTGAATTTTGCTGTTGTGTTGTGATGGCTATGGTTTGTAGACATAGTATTGTGTTGAATATATCTAGAATATATGATGGAATGAATTATTTCTAAGTTATAGATGAACATATAGAAAGGAAGGAAATAAGCAAAAAAAATAAGCAAATATGAACTGCAAGAAGATTAGAGTTCACAATTTAATTGTCAAATATCATGGTTTTAGTAATGAGAAATGAAAGAAATTGTCATATTGGACGTGTGGGTGTGGGTGTGCATGCGTCCTCACCTCACTTCAACTGCCATTCACACCCACACCCAATTAATATTCTTCATTTTTGTTTCCTTCCATTTTTTTACTTATATTAATAAAACGTCAAAAAAATTGCAAAATGTTTCTAAAACAAACGTTCATAACATAGTTCCTCATACATTTTCTTACATTTCACATAACTATCGTTTATCCAATGGTCATCATAGAAAGCATTCCTAGGACCGGCAATGTACATAAAACAAAGTGAACAACAAAAACTGGTAAACGCAATTACACAGAAAAACTTTCCAAATACTTCTTTTATAGGCCACTTCAACGCGAACTACCCCCCGACATATACAATCACATGTCAAGCAATCAAGATATCTAATCTAGATCATGGCAACGCTTGATACACCACTGCGATAATTATATCTATCGATATTCCATTTGATTCTTATGTAATCTCTTGGATATACTGTATAGATTATTATACTTTGTTTTTTATTTCATTTTTTTGAGATCAATAGAACAAGTGTAGCAGATTCGAAGCCATCTGATGAGATCATTAAGCAAGGTCGAAATCTGGATCATGACAATGCTTGACACCCCCGCCCATATCCACCCTACGAGTGCAGCTGTCGTCGATCGTATACAAAAAAATCAAAATGTTACACAAAGAAATACACAATTAATGGAGGCAACAGTCACACGAAAAAGTAATAAATTCAAAAGCAATCTATTTGTTCATGTTACACATGCGGCAAGACTCAAAGGCTTAGCACGTGAAATTCATGTGATACATGATAGCCACTTCAAGAACACAATGTATGGAGACATTAGATTGGTTGTCGGTTATCGAAACAATCCAAATATAGAATTTGAACTTTCACGTAAACGACTATCTTCATCATTACTGAAAGATCCATTAACAAAGAGTAAGATATACAATCAATTTATTTTTTCTATTCTATATAATTATTTTTCTCCTAGAACGAAAACCAAATGGAATCAATGGCAACGGTGTGAATATCTGGTGAACATTATATAGACATTAAAACAAAAAATTCATATTCTCTTTTCAAAATAAACTTCATTCTATATTCTTTATTTTTCTTTCTTTCTTCATTTTGCTCTCTTCATAAACAAATCTATATTTGTTGTTTTCTTTTCATTTCAGATATCTAACCTAAAATATTATCAAAGTTCAAAAACACTATCAACAAGCAAAAATGAAAAATAAATTCAATCAAAGTAAACAAAATCGCAAAGTTCAATATTACAAAAAGAAAAATCGTTGATTATATATGAAAAAGAAAAAAGTCTCTGTCAATAACCAATTTCAATTAGCAACTATCAAACCAAGTGCACAGTTTTACAATATATCCATAGCATAAGACTTGCCAATGAAAAAAATCTATAATCCTTGGGATCTAGCAACACGTTCTGATCCAACATTATTATTATTGGATTATTTAACAATATCGGGCAGCAAGTTTAAAGAAATTTTATTAATATCAACGTCAAATAATATTAATACCGATGCACTTATTGAATTATTGAATCAGAAAGAAATATTCTTATTTATTCGTCAACTTACACAACTCGCCAATAAATTAAATTATTCTAAATTACAAAATGAACAATGGTCTTACTATTATAATCTTGGCATGAGAGAAGACATTTGGAACGGACGAGTATCGAAAAAAATGGCCGATGCTAATTCAATACGTTACACATATGTTTGATCAAAAATCTTAATCCAACAACGTCTTCAGAAATATAAACTACGATGTCAACAAGTCCAATATACTATTAATGAACAATTGAAACAAATATCTCCCATTATTGATACGACAATTATTACAAATATGATAAGTAGCTTAATCCATAAAGATCAATACGAATTACGTCTTGAACTTGACAGACGAAAAACAATGCTCCGACCAGACGCTGAAGAACATAAACTCATTGACCATTTTTACAAATTGAAACCAAGGCAAACAGAGGTAAGCATGCAAAATGTTCACAGATATATGCCATATACATGAAATTTTCAGATGAATTCAGCAAAAATTATATGGAAAGCTATACATGATCAACAAGCAAACCTAGACGAAATTGCTATATTTAAAAAATGGCTTCAACATCACATACTAGCATCATCATGTACACTCCAGGATATGCAATTACCAAATATAAACCGTATATTCGCCTCAATAGTTTTTCACGAACAAACATCATATACCGAACATATCGCTCATCAAACTATAGCCAGAGCCGAAGAAATCGCACAACACTATACAAACATAGCAACAGCAGCGAAAACTAAACTGCAATCAAGAAGAACTGATCATAAAAATGTTCACCTAGTCGACCAAATCATCAATACCATTCTCAAACGTGAAAACAACATGCAACAACATGGTGTATGTGAACTACAACGAAAACTTACAATGATATTCAATCAAACTCCAGTCGAAGCTACCGACGACCAACTCAATATGCAAACAAAATAAGGGTGTGGGTGTGGGTGTGGATCTAGGTGTGCACGATCATTTCATACACATTTACAACCACACCCCCCCCACCCCCCACCCCCCCCCGAGGGGCTAACCAGGGGGGGGCTAGGGGGGGCTGGCCCCCCCCCCCCCCCCCCTACGGAGAACATAGCCCCCCCTACAAAATTTTTTTATTTCGAAACTTTTTTATGTTTGTGTTTGCAATTTTGATCTGCATATAAATGTTATATAAAGAATGCATTATTATATACAATATCTTCTCTAACAGAATATAAAAGATACCAGCACCCATGTAGCCAATAATGTAAAATAATGGACATTATTTTATTTTATTTTTGATAAATAATGTACGTAATGTAATTATAATGCAACCTTTTTCATGCATTATAATGCATTATTTGAGAAATAATGCATTAAAATGCATTGGTTTTGAACGAATCTTCGAAAATTTTATCATTATTTCTTTGGAATGCATTACAATGCATGAAAAATTTGAGAAAAAAAATGCATTATAATGCGTTGGAGTTCTGCAGGCTCTTAATTAATTATAATGCATTTTTTCGCACATTTTTAATGTATTGCAATGTATTACAAAGAAATAATGATAGAATTTTCGAAGACTCATTCAAAATCAATGCATTTTAATGCATTATTTTACATTATTGGCTACATGGTCAGTATACCCTTGTTCTTTGAATTTTTTGACACATGACGATCAAACATCTATTAATTAATGTAATTCAGAGAAAGCAATATCTTCAAAAAATAAAACGATAAAAACGGAATGCGTAATTTAATTACATATACATATACATATCATATCATGAATGTTTCTGCACATATGTTGTAAAAGATAAGCTCATTTCTGCACACAACATATTACGTTGACTCATGAGTAATAATAAAAGTAAAACTCTTGATTTCTACTTTTCGTCAACTCAGAAAAAGCACAATTCTTCTCATGAACAACCTAATGATGCTGACAATCAAAATGTTGTTTTACAATCATCTGATTCACAACCATCTCGTGTTATTGATAATGAACCAGTTAAAATTTCTTTAATAAACACTCCTGAAAATATTAGTAATGAAAATCAACAAAACGTTCAATATGAAGAAGAAGTCAACAACGAAACAACTGGTGATATTATTGATATTAGCCGGTCATGTGAAGATCCACCTGCTCAACCGAAACTCATCTCATATCCAAAAAATCATGAAAACAGATCTTTCATGTCAAAATGGTATGAAGGAAGGCCATGGTTAGAATATTCAATTGAAAAAAATGGTACTTACTGTTATTACTGTCGACATTTTGGTGCACCAACATCATCATCCAATACAAAACCACAAACTGATGCATTCATCAATAATGGGTTTAAGAATTGGAAAAAAGCACTTGACAAATCTAAAGGTTTTGATCAACATCTGAAAAGTCATGGCCACATATTAGCAGCAAGCAACTATACACTTTATCAACAACGAAAACAATCACAATCCAATGTTATTAATATGATAGACAAAGGTCGAATTGAACAAATACGGCGAAATCGTCTTCGTTTAATAAAAATTGCATCAGCATTGTTATTATGTTCCAGGCAAGCAATTGGAATACGTGGACATGATGAAAGTGAAAGGTAAGCGCACTGATATTACATTCTTTTTTATAAATATGAATTTATTTTATCAAGTATTACTTTTTAAATAGTTCTTTAAATAAAGGAAATTTTATTGAAATCCTTAAATGGGCTTCTTCAACTGATCCAATTGTCAAATCAATCTTTGAAGATATTACAGGAAATTCGACATATCTTTCACCAATAATTCAAAACGAATTAATTAAAATTATGGCTGACCAAGTTAGACGTCAAATAACAGAAAAGGTAATTATTTTATATTCGGCAAATCAGTGTTTTAGTTAACAGGTTTTTTCACTATAGATTAAAGGGAAAATGTTTGCGCTGTTAGCTGATGAAAGTCGTGATAGTGGTGGTAATGAACAGCTTTCTATTGTGGTGCGAGTCGTAGTACCTACAAATGATAGTAAAGATATTATTCAAGAATATTTTATCGGATTAATTCGATTACATGAATTTGATGCTCAAACTTTGTCGAAAATGATTGCTGCTTATTTAAAAAAATACGGTATTGAGTTACAGTCATGTATTGCACAATGTTATGATGGGTAAGAATCTATTGTTACACATAACTTTCTGAAGAATTCCACTATATATGTTAATTTATTTTAGAGCATCAGTGATGTCCGGCAAATGTGCCGGCGTGCAAACAATTCTTCGTCAAAGTCATATGCCTCAAGGCATTTATATACATTGTCATGCACACCGATTGAACCTTGTGATCATCGATGTTAGTAAAGTTATTAAATACATTAATGAATTTTGTCAAATTATTTCAAAGATTCATTCTTATTTTATTTCTTCATCAGTAACAAATGAATATTATCAACTAGCACAAGAAAAATTAGCATTAGGTATGTTTGTTTCTTAAGAATCATAGTAACTTTTATTATATACTACCTTTTTCTTAATAGCTACTTCTTCAAAGTTAAAAACGTGGTCAGATATTCGATGGGACTCACGGTGGAGTTCAGTTAATGCTATTATGCTTAATTATGAATCAATTGTTGTTGCATTAAATGATCTTATTGAAGAAGGTGATCATCGTTGTATTGATGCAAGAGGTATATTATCAGCTATACAGGAACCGCTTTTTATTGTCACAATGGTGATATTAAACAAATTGCTTGGTTCAATCAAAGTTTTATCAGATCAATTGAAAAGTAAGCAAAAATGCAATATATTTTCACAGGAAGATATTTTACTTCAAATGACATTTTTAATTATTATAGGCGAATCACTTGATTATGCTGAAAGTCAATTTTTAATTTTATCAGTAATTGACCAGCTTCAAAATGAACGAAATGAAACATCATTTAAAAGTATTTATTCGGCTGTTTTGGATTTTGCCAACAGACATGGTATCGATATGAACCGCAAATCAAAACAACGACGATCAAATAAAATACCAACTCGTTTTAAAGATGCATTTATAACAAGTACAATGGGACATCGAAAAGAATTTTTAACTGAAGCTGATTATCGTGAAAATATATATTTTCCATTAATTGATGCAATCCTAGTGGAAATGCGTGATCGTTTTTCACCGTCAAATCTTGCTGTATTATCAAGCGTATCATCAATGTCTCCACAAAGCAAGTCTTTCTTAAATTATGACCAATTATTACCCTTAGCTTCACATATTAATTGTGATCAAAATCATTTGTTTAACGAATTGCAAGTCTTACAACCAATGCTTCAAAACAAAAAATTATCAAACCTCAATGAATTATATCATGAAATGATTCCATTACAAGAAGCATTTTCAAATATGATGTTAATGATCAAAGCTGCACTGACTTTTCCTGTATCATCATGCACGTGCGAGCGTGTATTTTCAAAGATGAAGTTAATCAAAACACGCATAAGGACAACTATGGCAGATGAACGCTTAAGCGATCTTTGTATCTTATCAATTGAACGTGATTTTAATATAGATTTTGAACAAGTCATTGATCAATTTGCGGTTAATCGTAATAATAGTAGAATTTTGTTGCGATAGTTTTTTTTGTAATGTATTGTTGCTTAATTTATTATTATTTTGTTGGTAATAAAGGTTTGAACATTTTTGAACTTTATTATTGTTTCCATTGCATTCTCAAGTACTGCTCAACTTCTTGTTCTTCAACTCCACAAAACTGGGGGGCAGAGCCCCCCCTACGGGAATTTTCTGGTTACGCCCCTAACCCACACCAATACCCACACCCACACCCACACCCACACCCACACCCACACCCACACCCACACCCACACACCCACACACCCACACACCCACACCCTATAAACATTCATTATGTAGAAATCCATGCATTGTTCGTGTGGTAAGTTAGATTCGAAGCGAATAATTTTGCCAATATACGTATCATGATACCGAAAGTGAAAGAACAAGAACTTGAGTGGTGAAGTTTGGAAATTTGTTGAATTTTCTGGAAGTCTTCAAGTGTTAAAATAAACTGTTCTTCTCTCAATCATTCCATATGTTTATGATAAAATGCACAT